CTAGGCCATTTCATATCATGTGGGGGTAATCTAGGGCAGCCCAGATTACCCCCACTGACAAAAGTATCCAACAACATTAAAATAAGTTGCTAAAATTGTTATTAGTTGCTTTCTTGGTTTAAAAAAATGGACAAAAGAGAAGGAGAAGTGGATGAATGTAACAGAAAAGCTCATGACTGGACCAAAGACGATTAGAACCAAACATTAGTCACAGCAACAATCACACCATATTATTGTCCCATAAAATGTTAGAACATGCCTGATATTTGTCATAGATCCTCTGAGATGTGGGAGCAATAAGTCGACTGTTACTGTCTGTCACAAAAATGATTTAGATAAGCTGCCCAATAAAGCTAATATGTTGTGTTCAGACCCCAAGCTTAACAACATTTTAAGAAAACAATGGAGAATTTAAATGAATTGTACGTGTTCTTTGAACACATGAGTATTTATCTGCAGTTATTTAAAATAATTACAATAAAAACTATAAAGCAAAATAAACTGAAATGCAATCGTTTATCTACAGACATACAAAATTGTTTGTTTATGGGTATGAAACGGTAATATCTAAATATAAAATTAATTCCTTCCTCAATGAATTGAGGAAGGAATTGATAAAAAATTAAGCCCATATATTCTCCACTGAAAGGTTGGTACTGCTTTCATTTAACATCAAAGAACAAAATCCAGATAACACTTAAAAGTAACAAAAGTATGATCTAAACATATTGATGATAAAAAATTATATATCCCCACCATATCGCGAGGCAGTCTTGTAATGTAAATTATGCCAAACAATATCGCGACGATAACCTAACCATAGCAATTTGAGTACTTCGGCAGCGTCAGCCGCCGGCCCCTGTTGAGAACCCGATAATAAAGAGATGACACTTTTATGATACCATAATTAACAGTGCTCCAGGATAAAATTAAATCAATATGCCCATCTAATATCATTTTCTCTATGCAAATCAAACATTCAAAGCCCTTGGAAAGTGATATGAATTGCTTTCACATTTCAGTTCACACATATTATCATATCAGAGCTCTTAGGTTTGATGACATGGAGGATGGTTGGGGTGGTGTTGGGGGGTTAACGATGTGAAGATTTCACTGTAGAGAGAAGGAGAGCCTCTCTGACTGCTGATTAGCTCCCAGTAACAGGGAGATAATGTGAGTGCTTAGATCGAAATACTTCTACTCATTTCTAAGATAAAACAGTTAAATCTCACTAAAAGAAATCTCCTGAACATTACAGCTCAGAATTAAGCCCCTGCTGCTGCTGCTGCTGCTGCTGCTGAGTAATGAAACGGCTGCAATATAACAAGATAGAGTTTAATTCCTGAGAGTAAATCTTAGTACCATTCTCCGATGAAACTGCACAGCCTTTCCCTATATGGGTGTGGGACAAAAGAGTGGCTGCAAAAGCTCAGCGCAGACAACACGAACAGTAGAAGGGGGAGCCTAATGGCCGTGATTAATGACAATAGGCCAGAGGAGAGCTGGGACACTGGCGCTACATATATCATCCCTTCTCATCAGTCCCTGCACCTCTGTGGCCTCCTCCCTGCAAACCAGCACATTACGCTAAGTAAAAAAAAAAAAATCTCATCTGGTCTCAGTCAGCAAACCACAGGCAAGCTTTTCATATGATTTTTTATGGGCCTCGCAGATGATAGCTAAGCAGGGAAATGACATGTAGAATAAGATATAATAAGTAAAGGGGAGACGGCTTTGTGTGCGATCACTCATGTTTTCCATGAACCAAATACTTCCTGCGCTTAAGTCACATCTCCAAGGTCTAATCTTCCATATGGAGGCAGATGAGTTATTGGCTATTTATGAATAGAAGTGATGATGAATGGTGCTGCATTTATCTGCATAAGTAACTCCAAGGCTATAATAAACATAGTTTGCACTCAGGGCAGCGCTTTATTTATGAGGCCTCTACGAATAGATATTATGTGGCCATCATCAGTTCCTTTCACTTCCCCGAGGAGAAGATAGGAAATGGCTCCACTACAGTGGTTTGTAAAAGTATTCATACCTAGTGAACTTTTCCCCTCTTTATCACATTACAACCATAAACTCCAATACATTTTATTGGCATTTTATGTGATAGACCAACACAGGGTGGAGCAAAGCTTTAGTAGATGAAAAATACGGTGATAGATGGTTTTGAAAATTGTTTTAAGAATAAAAATCTTAGTATTTTCCTGTCTTCTACACTGATACCCCCCAAAAAAGATCAAGTTCAGCAATTATCTGAAGGTAGAGTCTAATTGTACCTTTTTTAAACTAAATGCAAGAACTCCTATTCTACAAAGGCTTCAGATTTTTATTAAGAACATTAGATGCCATCATGAAGATCAAGAGAGACACCAGACACATGTAAGCCAGGCGGAAAAAAAAGGATTAGCTATTAGAAGTGTGCCCACCACACTTCTATGGTGAAAACCTTATCAAAATGGTTTATTGACTTTTTTCAGCAGTGACATCAAAAAAGCTTATAGAACCCACAGTCTTTCATTTCAGCTTTGTCACATATTTATTCAATTGTTTAATTTAGAACTAGAACTAGCATTTTGTATTTATCCCCAAACGGTTACATCGGGGGTGGGAATCGTTATAATTGTTTTTCCGTGTTTTTTCGGTCTCAATTTGTGTCATATTTTGCCATTTAACCTCTTCTTAGTAGAACCTTTTTTTAAAAAAAATAAAGTTGGTTTCCTTGCTCATAATTTAGATCATAGCATTTCAATGCAGTTCAAGCTACTAGTGTTGGACAAAGCTCCAAGAACAAGTTGTTCCGCTGCTTTATTGAAGAGGCCATGATTTAAAAAAATTGGCCACTCAGAACAAGGCTGGATGACTGCTGCAGGGTTTTTTTTTTTTATTGCAATGCCCTTACAAAGCCTACAGCCTACTGTAAATCGAAGCTGCTGAAAAAGTCGGTAAGGGCACAAAGTTATGTTTGATGAACCCTCTATGAGTCAACTAAGTGTAGGTCTGTGATGCTGAATAACCCAAAAGTTTATAATTTGCTTCTTCTGCTCTTCTTTATATCACTGTTTGACTGTATGGATAAAAAACCATGCAGAGAGATGTTGGAGTTGGGGATGTGATCCTTGCACATTATGATCAACGGAAGAGATCAAAAGATCACGCAAAGTATAGATCTGAGACTGAATGAACACATGTAGGCCACACTTTTCAAATCTGCAAGACTAAAACGTTTTGTTGTTGTTGTTGTTTTTTTCATGAGCTTTAAAGTTATGCACTACTCTGCATTGTTCTGTCTCACAAAATCCCAATAATATACTTTGAGGATTGTGGGTGAAAAGCACCAAAATACGAAAAGTTCAAGGGGTATGAACATTTTTGCAAGGCACTGTATATTCAAAACTCTCACAATTTAAACTCCAGTGAGAAGACTTACTGCCATCACCATAATCAGCTCTACTTGGGGTTTAGTTATGACCAATTAATGAACCACATTCTTATGGGAATTATAACACACTGAGGAACTTGAAGTTTTAATTAGGAGGCACCTTGTTAGATCCAAGTTAATGCCTTCATCGTACTGAAAACATGGCAAATTAATCCCCAATTAATACTACAGGCAGATTTAGTCATTATGAAACAGCTTTCCACATAACAGGGTTAAAAATCCCCTAAGTTCTTACAGTAATCTTATTTGGAGAGCAAAATACAGCATTTTGCTAAAGAGAAGCTCAACTACCTCCTAGCTTTTACTTATTTTTCTTAATAAGAATAGAAGATTAGATTAATAATCTTTTACCCCAGGGCTATCATCCCCTTTACCAGTTGCATTAAAAGGAAGTTATTTTAAAGTGGTGTAATGAAGCAAAGTGCATTTACACAAGTAAAACCAATTATTTTCAATATCTATTTTCAGGGTAATCCACTGTAAGCACAATTGTATAACAAGACATATATACTAGCACAACAAAAAAAGGAAAAAAGTACACTTAGGACACTCAGTTTTTCAACATTTTAGCAAAAATTGGTTATTTTGAACTTAGAGCACTGATCCTTGTCTGTTGACATCCACCGGAAAAAATGTCCAAAAGCCTAAAAGTAAATACTTGTTCTATTGCAGCAGTATAATCTCCCACTAAAAAAGAAAAACTCAATCTGTCAATACACATATTGGGTGAGAAGAAAAATCGCACAACCTCCAACCTGACCTATAACCCCAAGTGAATAATACACAACAATAGCAATGATGCATTACATTTTTGTCATGTTTACTAATTTAATGACACAGAATCTCTATGCTGTTCACCATGTTTGTTTTCTTGCGTTTAGCACAAAATACTTTATGCGTGTGCCCTCGTCTCTGCTTAGCTCCACCTACAGGCCTGGAAGACTAAAATAATAATAATAAAAATAGTTTTGTTCTGTTCTTTCTGTCTGAATGAAAACATTTCTGGAAAAGGTCCCCTGTGGATGCAAGTGTTTTCAAAAGCGGCAACCACTTTAAGAAAAAACATTATGTGTGTACAGGAATGTGAGTTAGTACTTTTCTTAAACACTTGCTATAGCAGGTAAATCTATTACAAAATACTTTTTACATATTCAGTATTAAATTGAAAAAAAAATATTTACATTGATTTAAAAAGTTACAATTTATGACGGCTTTTTGTTTGCTCTTTCTTTTAATAGCTGTCTGAAATTTATGTTTTTCCTTTTCAATAATGGCCGCAACATCTAATGTACCAATCATGCCACATAAAAATTCAAACTGGACCAAAAAGTATTTTTTATTCGACCTAATCAATATACATTGTTATTTTAAAAATCAAGTATTTTTTGTAACTTTCTCTGTAGGGTTAAATTGCTCTAAACATGAGTTCTCACACTGGATTCTTGTTCAGTTTCATACAAACAGGCAAGTAGACATTAATCATCACCCCTGTCATCTATGTTTCATGACTGCCTGCTCTTGACAGTAGAGAGAATTAAGAGCTTCTCACCTTCCTCGCTGCGTCTTCTGCTCTCCGAAAGCACAAACACGGCATCGTGTGAGAAAACAAAACATCTTTTGTCTATCTAACTGTTTTCGCCCACTTTCCACGGATGCTGTGTATAATTAATATCTCAGCAGTGCCCGGGGTTGTCATTTTTCAAATGGTTTCCCTGGAAATGTTCTACACCTCTTAATGGCCCTGCTAATGCTGTAGCTGTCATGTCTTGGACAGCTGCACTTTCAGAAGACAAACTCAGCTGTGCCACCAGCTTCTCTGTGGACTTACTTACTCGCTGGCTTAGAAGCCGGTCTTGCCAGCTGGTGATAGTGCACACAACGTTTGATTAATCGGCGCCTTGTGTCCATGAGTGGCGAGTCACCTTCCAGTATACTGAATATTTTAGCACCTGTTTGTGTGGGAATGTCGATCAAACAACTGGCCACAAATTCAGACAAACAAAAATTTATTGTTCAGCTTGGTAATAATTTGTGAAAATGACAGAAAAATACATTTATGTTTTATGGAAGCAGCATCATTTTTAATAGGAACTTTTGTTGAGTTTCAAGGGGGAAAAAAACATGTAAATGGATTTTTGTTTCATTTGTCTGGTGACTGAAGCTATGAAAAGAGGTTGATTTGGTGTCTGCAGAACAATTTATGTGTTGATTTGGCACTACATTTTGGATATGGACGTACATTTTATTCTGCTACAAAACCAATGATGAACTGTTTTCAGATTTTTGGCAAAACTCTGGAAATATTCCACTAAAATATCCTGGTATATCAGAGATAATAATCCAAAGATTCGAAATTTCCAGAAACAGACTCACGGCACTGGTCTGTTTCTCCACTTCACTTCACAGCAGACATAATATGCTTATTAATACAATCCTGTGTTTAATGTTAAATTGATTTTTAAAAAAGAAACAAAGCTAAAACCATCTAATTGCCATCTCATCTGACTTAGATAGATTTTGGCAAACTTTATCTGTATAGTTAATCTGAGATTATTTGAGTATTTATTTACTTATTTACATATCTTTTCTCTACAATTGCGCAAAGGGCATTTACTTGGTTTGACAGTTGAAAATAAATCCTGGCTATGTATAGATTTAATGTATACATATATTTAAGTTATTTTCATGTTTTTATTCTCTCATGTGGTATAAACTTGTATTTGCATTCCTTTTTTTTTGCAGCAGACTGACTTCAGGATTATTGCAAGTTAACAAGATATTTCTTCCAATGGACTCATTTGTGTCTGACAGAAGATCCTTTGGTGGTTTGTTGAGCCGGAGGGCTGAAAAATCTGCAGTTCAAAGTACCGTTGTTAGAACTGATATTTCAACCAAACTTCCTCAGTTGTAGATCAAAGACTTTTTGGAATAAAATTAAAACCCTGGGAGCAGTTTGTCCACCCTTGAAGCAATCATAAGATAAAGTGGAGATGTCACAAGATAATCAAGTTTCGACAGAGGGTAAAAAAAAAAAATAGCACAACTTTTTCTAAATGTTTACAGAGATAAGGTCATGTGCAGCCTTACACATTTGAAAAAAAGGAATGAAGAATCATATTTTAGCTTTCAGATAGGGAATAAGTTGTATTAATTAACAACAGGACTGATTATGAACAATTTATTTCTGTTTTGTCTGTCACCTTTTGGCTCTTTTGCCTAAAAAGGCAAGGCTAGGACCTGAATATTTTAAATCCAAAAATGACTACTTGAGACTTCGGTTGTTTCAGAGGACAATTTAGCCATAGAAAACGTTCAATAGCAAAAAGAACCAACTTAAATGGTATTGCGACCTAAACGAGCTTGCTTTTTTTTACATTGATGTGTACACAGACTACATATCCTGCATCCCCCATGTTGATTGGTAAATATATGTGAAAATTATTAAAATAAATAATAAATAATTGCAGTAGTATAATCAAAAAGTAAAAAAAAAAAACTCCAACCTTTAGCTTAAATGCATTATGTTTATTCAATGGAGGGACAATATAGTTCATACATATGTTTTAATAAATCATAAATGTGAACCTGCCATTCAAGTAAGGTAAATGTGAAATGTCACTTTTGCTGGTACCATTCCAATTAAGGAGCAGAGTTTGATATGCGATGAAAAAAAGGCATGAATTAAGAGAAGAAAGATCAAACATATTCAGTGCTTTTCACTCATTCTGTTTCTTACTCTGATATTTCCCTCTCTTACAGCATCATTACAGTTATATGAATAAGGCCAAATACGTAAAACATTACTTAGTGACTTCTAGGAATTTGGGACAGTCAAAGGATACTTTTCTTACCCCTTGCTCTTTGTGTCCTTCCCTGTCACATGTCCTTCCTTCCCTCCTGATTGAAAGATGTGTGTGAAACCTAATTTTTATAGTTTATTGTAACACATTCAGAGCTAGACACTTACTTGAAAACCAAAAACATATTGTCATGCAAACAATGACAGGAAACACCACTGTTTTTGCCATCTAATTAAAAAGGATTAAAAAGGACAAAAAAGATTTTTTTAAACCATTGGCTTTCCTTTGAGCTTTCTTTTTCACATGCAACTTCCCCCTTCCCCCAAAAAAGAGCCAATTTAACATCCCTTCAACACAAAGAATAAAAAAAGATCCACTGAAGTCCAAATCTGCCAGTAATGATAAGTAAAACCACCATGATGTGTGATATAATCACTGGGTAAGCATAAGAGCTGCTGTTTTTCTCTTTTCTAACACTATCTCTTTATTTCTCTGCTGAAAGCAGATATTGTTGACTGTGAGATGGCTATCATAATTCATGGGAGTTCAGATGGAGTTCAGGACAAACACTTCACATGCTTGTTACTTGTTAATAAAATGACAGAAGACAGATAAAGCCCCTGTTTTTTGGACATGTGGATCATGTGTGTGGGGTATGTGTGATCAGCGCTCAGATGGTGGAAATAAAGCAGTCATTGTAGCAGCCAGGCTTCACTCGAGGTCAGAGGACCACGTAATAGTGTTAATCTTGAATCAAGAAGTGTGAGGTCACAGGACATAAGATACCGAAACACAAAAACAAGTTTAAGTAGAGGACACTAGCTGTTACAGCCTTGAAAAACCATGCCTTTTTATGTCTGTATCTCTGGCTGAGGCGAAGCATGCAGGTGGCCCCTCAGCCCCCTACTTTCCAGCAGCTTAGACCTGGCTGTTTGATGAGGGCTTATCCCTCAGCTGACATATTATCATTGGACAGGCCTCTGGCTGAGAAAAAAGAACGAGCGACGCATGGGATTAGCCTCCGCACTCGTGCTAATGCAGTCAAACTGTCAGAGGGATCAAAGCCGCTCGCTTCAGATTAAGACCAATTAAAGCAGGTGGCCCTGCACAAATTAATAGCTGGAGCACTCACCTGTTAAAAGGAGGAAAAGCACTGAGAGGCTTTGTTCTTTCGGATGAAGTGAGAACGTGTCTAGCTTTCCTCTTGCCAGTGATGCGTTTCGGCAGGTAGTCAGCAAACACAATCACTTGTTTCATGGTGCTGAGAAAAAACAAAGTATGTGGTTAGTTCTTCCACATGAACTCAAGCCTTCTGAAGTGAGTGGCCATGTCCTGATGCCAGCTGGACAGTTGTGACTGATGCTTTTAGTAGTTAGCTTTAAGATAAATGGCAATGCTTCATTACAGTTCTTGTACAACTATTTACACTCTTTGAACATGTTAACATTTTGTTGCATTGCATATTAAGATATATATGGTTCTCAACATTTTTGCTTCTTGTACTAGAGGCTGCAAAAGACTTGTGACTAGGTCAGAGGATCACCTTCCAGCAGGACAACAACGCTAACCATATAGTCAGAGATACAATGGAATGGTTTAAATCAAAGCAACTAATGTGTTACAACAGTCCAGTCAAAGTCTACACATACTCTGAATTGACTATTTAAGTGAAGACTTGAAAACTAATGTTCAGAAATGCTTCCCATCCAATCTGACTGACTTTTTGATACTGGTAAAAAAATAAAAAGCTCTAACAGATTTTCCCAAAAGACTATTTTCAGTAAAAACTGACAGGACCAAGTACATATTCACTCCAGACTATTTTGTTGTTAAAATGTTTTAAAACTAGGATGTCTAGAGTCAAAAAGTTCAAGAGGTAGAGATACATTTGCATAGGATTGTATCAGACAACAATTTGGTCTTTTTCAGTGCTCTCCACTCAAAGAGAAGGTTTTCAAATTACCTAACACAGCAAGAGTATCTTGTTTCAAAATTATAAGACTGCTTCATCCAATTTAGAAAAGGGTTTTCCTGTATGAGAGTGTTTTGGAGAGAGGGTTAACAGTCTTACAGAAATGTGAACATCTGAGACTGAGGCATCTGAACCACAGCTGGTCAGATAGCCTGTGGGGTCATTTGAGGGCCAACGGAGGCTCTGCTGATCAAGGCCTCTCCTCTCGACAGGGGGATGAATGATGACTGCAGAGTAAATGCCAAAACTATAAATTTCATCCCACACTGAGCCAAAGCTCCTCCAGAGTTTATTTACATTTTGACATAGCATCTACTCTCGAGCGTCAATGTCGAAGGATCTCTCAGGATGGGGTGAATTAGTGATGCCAGTGCACGCGCTCTAAAGCACACATAGTCCGGGAAAGTTAATTTTGCTCCGACATGTCGGCCGTGCACGGCGCCGCTGAGAGGACTGAAAGAATCTTTCATTAACTTGTCTTTTCTAGTTACGCTCCCTGAATCTTGCTTTTGACTCGATCCAGCAGTGCTGAGCAGATCCAGTCGCAGCGTGTAAACCGCTCCTCAAACGACGCTTTGTCCCATTAATTACTAACATTAATGAGAAAGCAAAAAAAAAAAAAGGGAAAAGAAAGTCTAAAGAATCTGAGACCAGTCACATTTTTATATGTGGAAACTAAATAAATAACCTCGGCACCCCTGTGGCAAACTTTCCAATGAGCTTCGTAAGAGAGGCCTGTTTGATGTGGATGCCTAGAGTCGACTGTGTTTGGACAGTCATGAGGTGGGGCTGCCAGGCTTTTAACTGCTCCAGAGAACACAACCCACCACAGAGTGGCTCATAGGAGTCCCTCTGTCCTGAGGCTGGACACAAACTATCAACGGAGAGAATG